GCGTCGGCCGTCGATCAACTAACCAGCGGTGATGCGCGTCGGCATTTGTAATGCTCTGTGGAATGTTTTAGCGTTATCGCTAGCGGCTACGTATCTCTCAGAACAATCTGTGATGTTTAAGCTCTGCGTGTAATCGCATCGAAAGGTTCTAAGATTGTTTCGGTGGTTCTTAGTCGATCAGCATGCTTTGCGCAAGGCAGCGCTATTACGTGTAAATGGGGGGGGGGGGGGGGGGGGGGATAACAAAACTTGACAAACGAGTGTCGCAATACGTACCCCTGTGATACGGGCGACATGACGGGTTAACGTCACTTGTATATTTAAGCACCATCCATTAACGTTGGTCCACGTGTCGCTAGCCAGGGCTACATCCTGGCAAGCACAACTACTACATATCAGCTTATCGCGTTTAGTGTTGGTAATAGCTACGTTACTGTTGCCTTCATTATGCAACCGGTTATATAAAATATATGCGACTGTTCAACATACGTCTATGTGTACAACACTTGTACATATCTTTAGCGTCATTTCCCAAGTTTTTGTTCAATAAAAGAAGTCAGTTTCGCCGCAATGGCAAAGCAATGAATGCGATAGCAACAACTTAGAATGTAAAGCTGAGAATGGCTATCAGATCGAAGCGTACAGCACTCGATCTGTTCATGAACACATGGTGCACGTAAACAACACACACGGGATGAAAGCGAACTATCAACTTTTACCGCTCAAAACGTAACGCGCTGTTTAAACAAAAACGACGCACTAAACGTATTCACAGGTACAGATGAGTGCAAACAAGTGTCCCAGTTATTGCTTCTCTGTGTTTGAAAAGCACCCTCTTTTCACAAGCCAGTGAAGTGATCTCCAACCAGTGAAGTGATCTTTGTGTGCTGGGCAACAAAACTCCGGTCAAAGCCGAAGGTTAAGCACGTACGGATAAGCACGTACGCACAAGCATCTAACCCCCTGCCGCCCCCCAATCCGCGGCGCAAAGTACGCATGGGAGATAAGCGCACGTCGGCGCATCGCAACGAGAATGGTGCCGAGCGTGGGCGGCTTTTTTAAAGCCGATAGTCTTTCTTGGGGACCTTCGAAGCAAAACATTCGGTCTGTCTGTCTGTTTGTCCACCATTAACAGCACCCTAAATGGTACCGGAGTGACCGGCCGGTACCTCAAACGGCCAACCCCATCCGCAGCGCCCACCAATATTGCTCAAGGTTCAGCGTTCATACTTGTGCGATTCTCAATTAAAAAGCAATTATTGCGCATATCAGAGGCACCATAACAACACGTCCATATTTTGTAAGTATATCTTTATATAGAAAAAGCATACATTAGTAATTCTCAGGACCATAGCGTTTATCACGTTGCGCTGACTATGCAATGCTTGCACGAAAAGGCAAGTGTTTCTTTCCAACGCTTTGCTAAGACGACACGGTGGCGGCACCTACCCGTCGCCTTGCGTTCTACACCTTCTCACTTCCGAGACAGGCGCGCACGCCACGCGCGCGCTTCGTTTTCCAAGATAACTGCCAGCTGGCGCTCATGCCTTACGTGTGACGTCCCTTGATGTGCTCGTTCGGCACCGCTGCACGTTCGATGCACTCTTACGCAGCGCCTCCAGAATACCATTCAGCCATTTTCTTGCGCAGAACATCAAATAAATGTTTTGTTCACTTTCTGCAGACGCAAGACTATCGTCTTTCGTCTTTTGCAATGTAACATACAAATACGGGGCCAATTTTTTTAAATGCGATTAGCGAACTTCGGCAACTTCAGCGTATCTATCTATCTATCTATCTATCTATCTGTCTGTCTGTCTGTCTGTCTGTCTGTCTGTCTGTCTGTCTGTCTGTCTGTCTGTCTACCCGCCTATGACATTTAGCTCTCCTGGCCGTTTCGATAATGGTATCGATACCAAAGTTGGCATGGCATAACATGAGTGTATGACTAGCATAAGTGACTAGTCACAACATGAAAATAATGACACGTATGTCATGCATGTCATGATTTACATTTCATGATCTTGCTGCTCTTGCGGCGCTTTCGTTCACATGAAATATTGCAAAAGCGGTATAGTATGACATGACTGTATGGCGAACTTAAGTGACGAGGAAATCATGATATGTGTGTCATGTAAGTCATAATTACATTCCATATGCTTTTTAGCGCTCGCGGTCGTTTCGCTAGCTTCACATGTGCCAAATTTGGTTTTACGGGACGTCAATAAATGACGAAAATTGATTGATATATGTGGGGTTTAACGTCCCCAAACCATCATACAATTATGATAGCCGCCCTAGTGAAGGTATCCAAAAATTTCGACCACCTAGGTTCCTATAACGTGCAACCACATCTGAGCACACGGGCCTACAGCATTTTCGCCTCCATCGAAAATGCAGCTGCTACAGTCGGGATTCGATATTGTGACCTGCGGGTCAGCAGCCGAGTACTTTAGCCACTAGTCCACCATGTTGAGGCATGAATTACAGAGGTATATGACTGGTGCAAACAAGGTAATCATAAGATGCACGTCATGTAAGCAGATGACCACCTACCACGCTCATGATGCGCTAGTGGCTGCTTCGCTAGCTTTACAAATACCAAACATGGTATTGCATGATGCGAACGGACGACGAAGATAAATGACACGTCCATACATGCAGTGTTGGGCAGCGTTTTTAATCAAACGGCGGGAAAAACCGTAAGTAAGCGCTCTAAGTTTCCTTTCCTCTGCTCATTCCGTAAAAGATTAAAAAATGACCCCGTATCTGCATTTTTCACTGCAAAAGTCGTCGAAAGACGATAGTCTTGCGTCAGAGAGTGAACAAAACGTTTATTTATTTTTCTGCGTGAGAAAATTGGTGGATTGTAAACTGGAGAAGCTGCGTTAAAGTGTCTTGATCCGTGAAGCGAAGGCGAACGAACACATCGAGGCACGTGAGACACAAGCGCTATCTGACAGTTATCTTCGAAAACTAAAGAAGGCATACGCGCCTGTCTCGGAGGCAATAAGGTGTAGAACGCAAAGCGACGGGCAGGTGCATGCCACCACCGCGTCGTCTTAGCAAAGCCTTGGAAACACTTGCCTTTTTGAGCATTGCGTTGCATTGTTAGCGCAGCGTGATAAACGCTAGGGTCCTTAGAATTACTTATGTATGCCTTATCTAGTATAAAGACACACACATGAAACATTGGCATGTTGTTATGGTGCCTCAGATCAATTGCACAAGTATGAACGCTGAAACTTGAGCAATATTGATGGGCGCTGTAGATGGGGGTGGCCGTTTGGGGCCGTTTGTGGCATCGTTACGGCGGACAAACAGAAAAATGTACAGCCAAACCAAGGCTTTTGCGTCGGGTACCTCAAAAAAGACTATCGTCTTTAAAAAAACGTCTTGCTGATGTATTTTGTCCCATGGTGCGCTAGCATCCGGTGAGCCGAAGGCAATTCCTTTGACACTTTTGGACTCTTCAGCGGCGTTGGTGAGGCGTCGTGCAACATTTTGTGGTTTTCGTTCGCGCGTAGCCATTTATTAGCATATACATGGGATTTTTTTAGGCACGGTGTGATGAAAGATGCCGTCCGCATGTTGTGTGTTATCCAGGCATCTTCACGGAGAAAGCGGCTGTGTGTGGCAATATAGAAAATAAATTTACAGAGCCTCCATGAAACGGAGCCTGCTGTTTTTTTATTATTATTATGGAAATCGTTATTATTATTACGGAAATGTTATGCGAAGCATGCCTGCGCATGCTTCGCATAACATCTATTCCCAGGATACGTGGGATCGGCCTTTTTTTTTTAGCACGTCTAAACGGCGTAAATGTTCCCGGCACTATTGCTGCAGCTTTCAAGTCCTTCGTGATTTTTTTATTCGAATTTTTCTTGCCTGTAGATAGACCTTCTTTTTTATGGTTAGTGCCTGAACTGCTTTAATGAGATACAGCTCTAAATGTGAAATATTGAGGGCATATATATATATATATATATATATATATATATATATATATATATATATATATATATATATATATATATATATGTGTGTGTGTGTGTGTGTGTGTGTGTGTGTGTGTGTGTGTGTGTGTGTGTGTGGTGTGTGTGTGTGTGTGTGTGTGTGTGTGTGTGTGTGTGTGTGTGTGTGTGTGTGTGTTGAGTTAACGCCCCGCCGCGGTAGTCTAGTGTGGCTAAGATACTCGGCTGCTGACTCGCACCGCAAGTTGCGGGATCGGATGCCTTCTGCGGCGGCTGCATTTCCGATGGAGGTGGAAATGTTGTAGGCCCGTGTGCTCATATTTGGGTGCACGTTAAGGAACCCCAGGTAGTCGAAATTTCCGGAGCCCTCCACTACGACGTCTCTCATAATCATATGGTGGTTTCGGGACGTTAAACCCCACACATCAATCAATCATTGTGTTAACATAACTTCATTCATTCAATATTACGTACATAGGCGTTTAGTTGTAAACCAAACAAAGTTTTTATGAAGGCTTCCGGTGAGTTCCCGTGAGATGATTGAGGTCGACGTTGAGCGCTAGCTCACCATGCTGTTCATTTTTTTCTTTCGTAATACCCGCCGTTGTAACTTAGCACTCAGGTGTCGCCCTGCTTATGTTGAAATCAGGAGTTTGATGCCCGACCACGGCGGTCGCATTTCGATGAAGGTGAAAGGCAGTGAACACCTGTGTGCTCGATTTAGGTGCATGTTGAATATCCCCAGGTGGCCTAAACTAGGCCGATGTCCCCACTGCTCCTTGCCTGGTTCTGCCGCGTAAAACAGCAGCGATCATTTTTATTTGGTGATTGTTTTGAGGAATGACTGCTTCTACTCCATTGGTGGCCATTTCAATTTGTTTTCGATTTCTCCTGCTTAACCTGAATGTTTTTTTTTTTTTTTCGCAGAGTTGTTCCATTCCACCAATTCAACTTAGCCTATGAACCACAAAACGAACCGCTGCCTGTCGTTCTTCCCTCACCCTTCTCTCTCCCATAACGCAGACGATGAGGCAGCGCTTCGCAACATAACTACGAACAGCTCAGTCACGTCGGCAACCATTGGCCCACTACGTCCAGCCCGAGTCTTCAGCCTGCGAGTGAAAGCCGAGAACGGCATCGGATGGGGCCGCTTCAGCAACTGGGTCACTGCCAACACAGAGGAGCACAGTGAGTACGCACCTGGCAGCGCCTCTTTGCAATGTCGCTCTAACCGTCTATATAAATCTATATGGCAGTCCACTTCTGGTGCCCGGTTGATAAAGACTTCCAGCCGAAAGGGACCAATGAACCGCGAACGCCAATCGGCACCAAGCTTCAAGAACTATAAGTGTGTACGTTGCCCTCGGCTCAGCTTGCGAGGTCCATGCCGAGAGTGTCGCTAAAACAAAGACGGTGCGGTTTCGACGCATGAACGCCTCTTTTTCATTCTTCTGTTTGTTCGTTTTTCGCGTTTCAATTAGCGTGGCGGCTCTACACACCTTTTTTCTGAAAACGCGTTGTCGCCTAAAGCATTGTACACTCTTCAATGGGACCCGCAGGGGTAGTGTACACTTGCCTATCCAAGGGACGTCTTTACTACTTTGGTGGCACGTTTTAAAGACAGGGTGGGAGTTTACCGCAGGCCACTCTTTCTCCTCTGTCCAGGTCCTCTTTCGCGCCAAATCCGCTCGAGCATTTCAGACAAGGGGCGGGCGCCAAGGCCTTTTCATTTCGGCTGCTTCTTTATTAAGCTCTTTCGCGGCATGCCGGGGGCATTTCGTCACTTGCAGAGACAAAAAAAAAACGAATTCCGAAGCGTCGCACAATGACTTTTCGTCGATTAAACTCTCCTGCCTGGCGCCGTCGAAGGCGGCGCGTGATGCGAGAATAGGAGGCGCACGTGTCGCTGCTGCTGTCCCATTGTTGCGTTTCTCAAAACTCAGAAAGGCGGATGAGTGAAAAGAAGCCTCGGCGGGCACAATGCAGCAGCGGCGGAGCGATAGCGCCCAAGGAGTCGAAGCGAAAAAAGGAAGCTCCGGGCGGCGTCATTCGAGACGAAGCGCCAACGCTTTGAAGGAATCCTTGCGGAAGGAGCCGGCGACAAGAATGAGCGGCCCCGATTTTCGACAAAAAAAAAAACAAAAAAAAACACGGAGGCGACGAAGTGCTGCCATCAACACCCCCCCCCCCCCCCCCTTTTTTTTTCTACCTCGTGCGGGCGATCCGCTCGAAGCGCACACCTTCCATCCAACTAACTCCCGCGCGGACAACAAAAGTAACGCGAAAAAAGAAAAGGTTTCTTCGGTAACGAAGACGGAGAGGGTGTGCGAAAAAAAAAATCTTTTGTTTCACCTCTTCACGAGTCCTCTTTTGTTTTCTGAATCGCAGCTATGCCTCCTTTTCTCTCTGCTTTTTTTTATTTTTGAGTGTCATTCTTTTATTATCATTATTATTTTTGTCCTAGCTCTCTTCTTTCCCCCTCTCTATCTCTTCCTAACGCCTTTACATCGTGCTACCCTTTGTCCGCTCTCCATGAAGCCTCTTGCTGTATTTTCCCTTTTTTTCCAGTCTTCACTACATTATACCTACTTCTCTCCACTGTTGGACGCTATTTGCTACTCGACAGGACGCCGCCTCTTCCTTACTTTTGTTTACACCCGCTTTTTCTCTGTGTCCGTGGTGTCGAGTGCACGTGTGTGTGCCAGTAAATGAGCAAGCTTCTGCAGCGACATTTCGCGCCTCATCCTATTTGTACGCCGTGCCCTTGTTTTTCTCGTCTTGCATCGTTGCCGTGCGGCCGCCTTCTCTCCGTCCTAATGCCGTCCTCTCTTCTTTTTTTTTTTTTGTGAACAGCGCATGAACGCGAAATAAAATAAAAGACGCTGGACGCTGGGCGCCTGCCCCCCGTTCTTTTCATCTGGCGCCCACCACTCGTCGACAGTTTTGTTTCCCTGCACCTTATCGCTCTTTCGTCTTAATCTAAAGTGAGCACCCTTGAAATTTTCACTTCCTTTATTTTTAATATTATTGTTCTTCCATTCTTTTTTGTGTATGTGGTTATTCCCCCATCGAACGCCGTCGTTCACTCTTGCAAGGTTCGTGTGCACCCTTTCTTTCAGCGGACCCAAAAGAACCGCTCTGTATCGCTGCCTGCCTGCACGGCGTCTCTCTGCAGTTACACCGCACGCATCCTTCTTTCCCGGACGCTTCATCTCGGGCGTCTCTCCTCCTCCCGACGACCCTTCTCCTTCTTCCGTATCACATCGCCGGGGCATTTTCGGCGCGCCCCACTGCGCTCTTCTTCGGAAGCTCGCAGTTACATTCGCTTCCTCCCGCCGCCGATATCCCACGTCGTCCTTCCGCGAGAAATGCTGGCAAGTTCTCCATCATACCGAGTAGTAGGCCGAGAGAGAATGTAACGAAGCGGAAGGCATCCTGGAGCCAGCCAATCGATTCACAACGTACGTACACTCAAACAACCTAGCTGCGAGAATACAAAAAGGAAAGAAAGAAAACACAAGGACGGAAGGCGTAGTGTGCGAAAGGCGGCGCGCGCGTGAAATGTATAGCGTAGGCAGCATGCGAGTAAAATTTTGGGGTAAACAAAAAACTGAAAAAAAGAAGAGCCTGGTAGGCCTTCGGAACATGGACCGTCGATGGGAACCATGTTTTCGGCGCGTACACTGGAGCAGCCACCCATAGAAGTACTGCCATATTCACGCGATGGTGAAAAAGGAAAGCACTACAAAAACACATGTATGTGTATGAGCATATTTCAATGAGGTTTTTTCTTCTTCTGAAAATTTCTGACGGTCATCAAATAATACAAAGAAGTGGCAGAGGACCCACATAAGTTTTCAACCGTTTTTTTTTAAAGGTATTTTTTGTTACTTTTTCTCTTTTAAATTCGGACCCTTGTGAAATTGCAGGTGCGTGATGGGTCCAGTGAATTTTCGATGCGAAAAGCTTCTGCCGAAGTCTTTCCGACTCGGAAGATTTCGATGGCGTGTGGGAATATCGTGCATTGCGCTCCTCAAGAGTATACAAAAAAATAAAAGAGCGCTTCAATTTTGTGCTGATGTGACGGCGTTGGTGCGAACTACGTAACAAACTAAAAAAATGACTTTTTTTTTTTCTTCATACGAAAGGAACAAGGAAGACGGATGTAGTTTTGAGAAAGCATCATGAGCAGAGCAGGGAAAAGAATGTAATATTAAGAGTAGGACGCCGAGTGACGGCCGGCGAGCAAAGGGAGGTGGCACGCGGAGACACGCGATACAAAACTTATCGGGCGAGAACACGGGCGGCCCTGAAGAAAGAAACGCCGGCTCTGCCGCTTTCCCTCGCGTCGCGTTTTTCCAATTACGATCCACTAGAGCGCGCTCTTGTCTTCCGTCAGGGTGGAGAGAGTCATCGCGCGGGACGACGTCGTCGGCGCCGGCGGGCGCCTGTCTCGAGGACTTCGATCGCGACGGCGTGCCTCGGGCGTATCAAATGCGCATACGTGATAGATATGCACTACTTATACATGCATCAGCGTGTACGGCCGATCATGTTGTTGCCCGATACAAAGTACCGCCCACCGTCACCCTTCGTTTTCCCGCCAAAACTAGCCTATCCTTTCTTTTTCTTTTCTTGGGCACATCACGCCTTCGATGTTCCCTACTTTGACGTCTCGCATGGTGTGCAACGCTCGCGTAACTGGCTGTGCGCCCGCACTATAGAGTGAGAGGAAGATCCCGAGTAGCGGTTCAGTGACTCGGGTTGCTGTACGCGCGCGGGATGAGTGGGGAAGGGGGGTTGCTTTTTGGTAACACCAGCGCGAGCTGTGCGTAGTGCGGGGAAGCGCTGCGAGCGCCAGGTGGCCGCGTTAAGGCTCTTCTAGCGAAGCCGGCTGTTCGATGGCGTGCGAGAAGAGAGAGATCCATGTTCTCCGAGGCACGCTGAAACGAACCTCTCTGAGTTCACGTTGCGTGCAACAGAACAGTGCAAGAGACGACGAACGCACGAGAGGAAAGCTTTTAGCGTGCTCTTTGGGTGATGCGCTAGAATCCTGTCTGATATTCCGCTACATCGTAATGTTACCTAACGCTCTATCCTACGAACCTGAACAAAGGAAAAGTTAATTTAGTGAGAGACTTTCGAAAAAAAAACAAATGAAGTTCTCGGTGATTAGACAACGTTGTAAGGAACAGCACTTCGTTTTCTGGCCGCATTTCTGCTACATACTGTGGCAGCCGACATTCAGAGCATGTTTTCTAGTCGTGTAAGTTTTCCTAAATTAGTTACCTTAATTTTTAGACTCGGCCGACTTTTCTTACAAAAAAAATATTAATAAGACAGGAAGAAAAAGTCTTTTGGCTGAACCCGTGTACGCTGATTGTACACGTCGAAATTAAGTGAGAACATACGCATAACTGATAAAGTGAATTCAACTTTGTTTAAACTGTATTGAGGGAGCGTTGTGTTGTGTTCGTTTTGTTTGGTCTCTTTGGCAGCCAAACACACTGCACATCTCTAGAGGTCATCTAACCCTCAACGCGCGAGCCTCGCCTGCGCGCCAATGTTGTAACAGAATAACGATAGCACTGTTCAATAAGTCAGCTCTGTCTAAGACTGATATCTGAGTCAAGGGTGTACTAAGTACGACTATGTAAATGTTTTGTTCCACACCACACGATGCGTGTCAACGAATGCGCGATGCGAGCTCTATCGGGCCGGCTTGTGGGTCCCAGTGTGGCACCTGTAACGACCAGGCCGTCTGCTCCACTTTCGCGCGTATTTCCTCCTCCCTGTTAATGCCTGTTCACATGGCACTGTGCTTCTCGTCCGAAGTTAAGATTACCTCATTTGTTTGAAGGGAGGATTAATCTCATCGAAATCGAATCGAGGTAGACTGAGCAAATCAGGCGCTATATATATATATATATATATATATATATATATTATATATATATATATATATATATATATATATTTATGAGATCTAACAGACAGTAATGCCAAGGAATGTACAGGGGAAGTTATTAGAACCAATGGAATGTAAATAAGAAGCAAGAAAAGTGGATGAAAAAATAACCAGCCGTGGGCAGGAATCGAACCTGCGACCTTCGAATAACGCATTCGATGCTCTAACCACTGAGCTACCACAGCGGCCTTCCCTCCATCCACTTTTTTGGGTTTATATGTGAATTTAGAAGTAGGAGTGACAGTCAGCGCCATCTATAAGCCAAACGACGAGTGTGAAAACACTCTTATGCGCATGTTTGGCGTCACGTAGGACGTGAACTTATTATGAGCGGGCAGCTGATTAATTGTCCCTCTTATACAACCTAAACACACCAAGTCTGCCATTACGAGACCCACGTTCAATGAAATAAGGGAAAGAAGTGTATACCTAAGGGCTCGTTTTTTCCGTGTTTTAACACAATATTAATGAGATCTAACAGACAGTATGCAAAGGAATGTACAGGGAAATTATTAGAACCAATGGAATGATGAAAAAATAACCAGCCGTGGGCAGGAATCGAACCTGCGACCTTCGAATAACGCATTCGATGCTCTAACCCTGAGCTACCACAGCGGCCTTCCCTCCATCCACTTTTTTGGGTTTATATGTGAATTTAGAAGTAGAGTGACAGTCAGCGCCATCTATAAGCCAAACGACGAGTGTGAAAACACTCTTATGCGCATGTTTGGCGTCACGTAGGACGTGAACTTATTATGAGCGGGCAGCTGATTAATTGTCCCTCTTATACAACCTAAACACACCAAGTCTGCCATTACGAGACCCACGTTCAATGAAATAAGGGAAAGAAGTGTATACCTAAGGGCTCGTTTTTCCGTGTTTTAACACAATATTAATGAGATCTAACAGACAGTAATGCAAAGGAATGTACAGGGGAAATTATTAGAACCATGGAATGTAAATAAGAAAAAAAAAGTGGAGGAATATATATATATATATATATATAATATATATATATATATATATATATATATATATATATATATATATATATAATCTCACAGGACAACGCAGCTAAGCAAATTGCGATATTTTATGATCAACACTTGGCATTTGCAGCATGCATTTCGGGAAGCTTTTCATCTGATTGGTGCTAATAGCCTTGGTCATGGGTAAACAACTGAGTTATTTGCAGTTCTTTCCTTGTTTTCTGACTACCGATAATATTACAGTCGCCACTTTTTAGTTTTATAAAGTGCCACTTTTTAGTGGCACTTTATATTTTAATACTGATTATAAAAAAACTTACCTATATCTCTCGAATCACATGACTGCTTCAGGAGCTGCATGGGCTATTCAATTAGCGCTTGTGATAGCTCTCACTGTGCAATTTTGTTCATCTTCTTTCACACTGGGCTACAGAAATGTGTTTGTATGTTGAAATTAAATTAAACAAAAAATGTTTGTTGTAGGTCCTGCGAGCCCACCGCTGAATATTACAGCTCGCCCAACCGGTCCGAACTCCATCAAGATATCTTGGGAGGTGAGATTTCTCAGCCGTACTCTCTTTCGCAAGAATAATGGGATCTCCAGACTTTCAATGAGTTTTACGCGAGTGCTCTTATATGTGTGTTTACTTTGCATTCACAGAACTATGGCTTTTTGTAAACTCCACACTGTCGTATAAGTTTGACACCTAGATAGTTTTAGCTGTAAAAACAATGTTAAAATTAGTGTTTTTCTATCAGACATATTTCTTTCAGCCACAGTATGTTAAGCTGGTTCCTTGCGTATGCACGCTACAACGTAGATGCATCGCTCTTTGTTTAATTTTCATGTGGAAACATTGCAGTAATACATAACATGTTGAAACTTGATCTTGGGCGAGTGGACAACTTGCCATATTGTAACTAGTTTAGCAAAACTTCGTGATCCCTCGAAACCACTCACACAATCACACATGTTTGCACTCAAGAAACGCACACTGCACACAGCTCTAACTACCAACCGTTTATATAATGTGCGTGACCGACCATCTTATAATACGGATTGAATGGATGATGCGCAACAGTAATAAACAACAAAGATGCGCATGTGCAAAAATTCAACACGTGATGCAAGAACCAGTCATCACCTATCAAAGAAACAAAGAAAAACAGAAAAAAATTAAACAGATAGACCAGCACCAACATTTGATGGTTTTGTATCGAAAGGAAGCATCTTTTCTCGAGGCAAAATGGTACTCCTTATTGTTAATTTATCGGATTTCTTTTCTTTTTTTACTTTGTTGGTTTGTGGCCGGCTTGTGCATCGCTTGTTAAATCTTTTCACGTGCGCATCTTCGTGGTTCATTGCTTTTGCGCATAATCCTGTGCGTATATGAAACGGTCAGTCATGCACAATAAACAGTCGATAGTAAGCGCTGTCCGTGGTGAGTGTATTTTGAACGGAAGCGGGTATGAATGTTTCGAGGGATTACCGTGTTGCGCTAAATTACTTACAGTACGTAACGTGACCATTTCTGTAGGCATTCAGTAGTCAAGACAAAATGGATGAGGTGTACTGGTAATGATAATATGTAATGTTTGGCGTCCTAAAGCTTGTGAGGAACGCCGTAGTGGAGGGCTCCAAAAATTTCGACCACCTGGTGTTTATTAAAGTGCACTGACGTCACACAGTATACACGGGCCGGCACCATTTTGTTTCCACCGAAATGCGACCGCCGCGACCTCTATCGAACCCGCCACTTTCGAGTCAACAGCCTCGTAGCCGCTACACCTCCGTGGCAGACCATCAATACTGGAGTTTCAGCGCTTAAATATATAGCTGTAAATGCTTCTGAACAATAGTTTTTGGGGCAAAATGAATAGATTGAACCATTTTTTGTGTTATTGAAGAAAAAAAGCTTCGTTTGAAGTAGTCGTATGCTTCAAGCGTTATATATAACGTGCTGGAAAAGCACGAGAAAAAAATCTGGATGAGCATAAAGGTCTTAAGCTGTGCGCAGCATTTGTTTTCGCTAACTGCTGTTTCCCCATATCGATGCACCAATTATGGTGTTGCCATCGTTAGGATCACCAGTGAAACGATTTCAATTTAACAATCAAGTTCTCGATTTTTCCCCTCTTCAACTTGCTCCACGAACCCTCCTCCGGATATTTCTCGTGATAGCGGCACGCGCTTAGTTCGAAGACCAGAAAAGAACGAATCAGGGGAGTCTATTTACAATGCATATGATGACAGAACGATTGCAGCGTCGTTACGTCTTCTGTCAGTCGTGACCAAATCATCTGAAACCTGGCCACGTAGCGTGTGAATGCAGCGCACGCAGCGCATGCATTCAGACCTCAGTGGTATGAGTGATCGACATTCACGACATTCTCGTGAGCTGATCGCCATAGTAGCAGTACTTGCCGCGTACGTAAGTTAGGTACGACCATATAATGCACCGTAAGAAAATATAGATTATCCTGACCACTCTGTCGCTCAAAGTGTAGAGAACTTGACGAAGACGAGGATAGTTAGGAGCTGACATTGTACGCGTTTAGTTTTTGCGATCAATGTTTCTAAAAGATTTTCTGGCAACCCCTGCATATACAATCACTTCACTGGAAGTGCAAGTATACCTTGTTGGACATCATCAAACTTTATGATAGGCTTCCTGCAGTGTTCTTGTCTTCCCGACATTTTCATTTTTATTTTTCTCTGTATAAACCTTTCTCTTTCATCGTTAGTTACGACTGCAACAATGTCGTTCTTCCTCGCCAGCTTCTGTCATCTATTTAGTTTACTGAGCCTCGTGCCCAATTTTGATGAAGACAGCAGCAGTTCTGCGTCTGGTCTACTATTATTTTTTTTGAAATGTTCTCGCCCATAAATTTGAGCCAAGAGAGGGAGCTAAGACGCCGAACGCCGAAATTCTGAAAAAATATGTCTTTAGAAGTTGCTTTACACAACACGTCTGGTGCTTATCAAGCCGTCAATTGAATAAACGTTTTCCTGTGCTGACTGTGCGTTTTCATGCACACGTTTTTCAAGCAGATGTATTTTTAAAAATAGAGTCAACACTGACTGATTTATACCTCACCCTTTTTTCGCCTCATACAAGGACACACTGAAGAGAGAAATCAAACAATAGAAGTTCAGAGAGGATGCAATGCATCGAACGGACTTGGCTAATTTAAACCTTTCTGTCACAGACTGTTTGGCAGACTGTACTTTTTGTAGAATTTTTTTTCTTTTCCGTGATTAGCCACAACGCAACGAAACATACCCCGACGTTATTATTTGTGTAAAATTGTATTCCTCAACTCACCCAAACGTCTGACTTCATCAGGCGGGTCCTCTTCCGGCGAAAGTTATCACGAATATAACGAATGGTATCCGCCTCGTGCGTTGCTGCTTTGAGCGGTAGTGGTGGCGCCACCAACAGCAAATGGTGGTTAAAAGTGGATGTGCGCGCTACTAACCACTCTTTTTTATTCAATTTATATTCTGTTTTGATGATTTCACTGCCGACGCTGCTAGACAGCCATGATGTTTGTTACGTCGATTGTTATATTTTATTTGTTTACAAGTTACCGGTGAGCTTGGTATAATGGATGCGTTTCTAACATGCATGCATTGAATTTGCGCGACCAGCGAACGCAAACGAAACAAAAGCTGTTGCAACATATAAGATCTTGTTTCTTTGAACACCCTGAACAGTACAACAACGCAAATAATAGCTGCATGCATGCTCAGGTAACTCACAAAAGACACACAATTTGAACTTCGTCCAGCTAATCATCAATAAAAACAACAAACTGAAAGCTAGTTAGCGTTGTAACAGGCATCGCACAGCTGCATAATAATGTGTGAAAGTGTCAGAGCAAATTACCGAAAAACATTCACAGTATCTTTTTATTTCGCGAACAGAAAATCAATGAGCAACGTCGAACTGCATTACAATCACGTATTCGTGAAAATTTGAACCATTAACACCATTGAAGCCACAATTTTTTATTGACATATCAACCAAAATGCAAGTGGCACTTGTGCATTTAAAATTAGCCACAAAAAACTGAGGTTTACACAGGAGGTTCGCACGCGTGTCATTACTCAAGATTTAAATAGTAAATGGTCACGCATGTAGTATGTATACATCGTATGCTAGAATCTCTTCTGGTACGTGAAAATCCGCAAGACGTGTGATTCTAAAAGTAATATTTGTGGACAAGCGAACACGTAGAAGGGCGACTTACAGCCTCACTCGCATTTGTAAAAACAGTATCCCAATCGCGATTCAATATTAACCAACGCAACGACAATAACAACACACTTGTTACCGCACACCGGTGTCAAGTACACGCGCAAGGCCAAGCGTCATGTTTCAACTGTAGCACAATCGTGCGCGTACAGTAACGTCGTAAATGATGCCATCGTACCAGCGGCACCCACGATGTAGCACCTCTCTTCCTCGAATTGCCGCGACGCTGAGAGCTATACACACAGCTGACTGTCCGGGGAAAACGCCGTCTTGTAGGAGACCATCTTACACCGTGACTAATAAACAAAAGTGCACGTCTGAAGCTTCTGAAAAATTGCCGTTCATGCGATTGCAGCTGAGCAGAATCGGGGTGCATCGTTCGACGTGTTGTCGTGGCTTTTACACAATTTTAACGTTGAAATATCCAAGTAAGACGCGACCGCGATGAAAGAAACGAGCCGAGCCGATCCTGTTGGGTGCGCTGCTAGATGGATGGATGGATGCTATGAGCGTCCCCTTTATAACGGGGTGGTGACAAGTATGCCACCAGGCTCGACAAAAAAAAAAAAAACCTTTTTCTTTTTTTTATGTTGGCCTAATGCCTCTACTTCGATAAATTCTATCTTAATGGAAAAAAAGGTAAATTTTCAGCTTAAGTTCTCTGCCATTTACGGCACACTGTCCATATTTTATTTTTCCAATATTTATTTTTGTCCTTTCTCTCTAATTTTCTGCCACCAATACTCTAACCGTCTCTTACTTATTTCAATCGCGGGTGTGTTCAGCTTTCCATTGTTGTCCCTAAAACCCAAGGCTTCCTGTAGGCTCGTGCCCAAACGTACACCTGGGTGGATATCTCCACATTCAATCAGAACATGCTCCGCCGTTTCCTTATCTTTCCCGCAGCATGTGCATTGTTCTTCTTCTTTACTGAATCTTGCTTTATAACTACGCGTTCTAAGGCAACCCGATCTCGCTTCAAACAGTAAAGCGCTTCCCCTTGAATTATCGTAAAATTCCTCCCTCCTTATTTCATTTTTTGCCCTTTCGGTAGTTACTCAAAGCCGGTTTTTTCTCCATAGCTGCCATCCAGTAAATCCTCTCCGCCTCCCTGACTTTTCCCTTAACGCTCTTTGTTGACATATGGCTCACAATACCAGCCGTATATTTACTAGTGAGTCTTCTAGTTCTTTTTCTCCACTGTGTGTCCACGCTCTTCCTATACAAATAACGGAACACCTTCTCTGCCCATCTACTCTCCTTCATATTTCTTAGCCTTTCTTCGAACCTTATTT